CTTCTCTGGAGATATTCAAGACCCACCTGGACAAGGTCCTGTGCAGCCTGCTCTGGGTGACCCTGCTTGGGCAGGAGGGTTGGACTAGATGACCCACAGAGGTCCCTTCCAACCCCTACTATTCTGTGATTCTGTGATCCCCACAGCTTCCACGCATGCCGGGCTCTTACCAAAAGCCAGCTTAGGTGACTAATTAAAAGCTAATACTTCTCCGCAGAGTCACGAGCTCCTCACGACTCTAACAACGCTCCCTCCCCCTCCAGAGCGGGGATTAGGAGGAAGCCACCGAGGAGGGACCCTGGGAAGCTCAACACCCCCACGGCTCCGCTCGAGACGGACTCCCGTGTCTCCTCATCCCACCAAAAGAGACGGAGAAGCCCAGGGCAGCTCTGAGCTCCCCCGTGCTGCCGGCGTTCATCTCACTGCGGGAAGAACGGCAGCAATCCCCACGTAGCAGCTCCTGCCTCCGCACCAGCGCCCGCTCCAAAGAGCACGCAAGAGCTCTCGTCCCTCAAAACGCCTTGGGTGTCCCCGAAGCTCAGCAGGACAAGTTCTGCCTTCCACCCCAGAGCTGCAAGCCAGGAGAGGTGCCTGCAGAGCCACCTGAAGAGCACTGCCTTGCAAACCCACTTATTACTGCTCTCTGCACACCACGAACCTCCCAGAGCAGGAGGGAACCAGGACCATGGAACTCAGCCGCTTCCAGCGTGCTGCCCTCCCAGTACAGACGTGGAGACTCCTCAGGGCAGACTCTTCCAGGCCAACCTTCTGTTTCACAGCTCCAGCAGTTGGTGCTGCTGCAAAAACCTCCCAAACCTGCCAGGTCCCTATGTCCTGGCTCCCTCTTGGCCCCTGCGTTGCCACCCGGCTCTCACACCATGTCACCCCTCCCACCTGCTCCGCTTTCTGCCTCCTCTCTCGCAAAAGGGTCGAGAAGATCCCCCCAGAAGTAAACTTTGCCTGAAGAACGAGAAGATGTCAACCCCGCAGCACCCTCCTCGTGAGCAGAGCCGGGCGAGCAGAGGCCCCTGTACGTGTGAGAATGTCAGGAATCCCAATGTTTGGACTGGTTTTCTCTGCCTTCCCCAAACCTCCAAACACGATCGACATCCAAACGGAGCCGCTTCCCGCGCTGCCGTCTCCTCCGGGGTCCCTGCTCCCAGGGCAGGGCTCTGCCAGCTCGTCCCTCCCGGTGGCATCTTCTCAGCTCAGGAACTCACTCCCTGTCCCGTTTTCAGGTCCTCCGCCGCGTCCCGCTTCCCACCGGAGACGGACACGCGGCCCACGGGGCTCTGAAAGAGTTAACGGCGCCTGGCCCCTGCGAGTCGTCATATTTACAGGTCTGAGAGATTAAAACCAGAATTTACCTCGAGTGATAGGCTGATAAGTTGATGGTATTTCTATTTATAACAGTCCCTCCCCCACTCCTTCTTGCTCTGCTGCCTGTCTTCTAATCACCCGTAATCCCGCCTGGGTCACCTGGGGGTGGGAGGAAGGGAGAGGGCTGAAGAACTTCATCCTGGGCTCTGCTAACGAGAACCAGATGTGGGAACCTGGAGATGACAATCAGGTCAACCGGTTTCAGGGGCTGGGGATCGTCAGCGAAGGGTGGGGGGGACACCAGCGTCCAGGGGGAAGAGGAGAGGCTGTGCCAAGCCCGGAGCCTCCCCGTGGCACTGAAGCCACGTGTGGGTGAATTTTGGCTCTGGGTTTCGGGGACCCACTGGGGGTTCCCAGGCTTGAAGGACAAATGAAGCGCCGTGCTCGGACCTGAGTGCTGATAAAAAGGTGGTGAGAAGAGGACTGTAATTAAGACAAACGAAAAGCCATAGACCCTGGTAAGCCTGCCTGCCACATTTTTCCCTCCTCTGCCATCTCAGCCCTGCCTGGTGCCCAAAACCGACAGGTACAAGCGATGGTCTCCACCATGGCATGCTCTGAAAGTCCAGCTGTGTCTCCAAAACGCTTGCCTGAAGCTCTGCCGACGTCCCCGGCTGTAGTGGACGTGGAGCGATGGGGACATCGTCCACAGCGGGCTGGGGAGCCGTCAGACACGGCATGGTGGAGGGAGCAGGCCTGCGGATGCGGTGCTGGCGGGACGGAGCAGGCACCTGGAGCACGCTGGAGAGCCCGCAGCTTTTGGGAAGGTCCTTCAGATGCAACCAGCAAAGCGCATGGACCTGCCCAAGGACCTCGGCTTGGTGCCCTCCCTACACAAAGCATGTTAGAGCACGGCGCTCATGGGGAAACTGAGGCACGGAGCACCCTGCTGACAAAACCACCGCTGAGCAGCCAGGCCACAACAAAATATCCAGCGGGTGCAGAGTGGAACAGGACCAGGAGACCCCAGGAGCTCCTGGCTGATGGTCCCACACGGCCCGGTGCAGCGTCCCCTCTCCCAGCAGCTCTCCAGCAGGCTGGAGCGGGTGCTGAGCGCTGGTGGGACACACGGCCGAGCAGGACAAACGCAACCGGGCACGAAAGCCCCCCAGCCACCACCCGGCATGGCACGGCACGCCGGGCCGGCCGGCGCCGCAGCGAGGTGCTGAGCGAGCGCC